CGGAGCATTTAATTGTTAAGTAATAGTTTCGTATACCTCTCTCTTCTCTCTCTCTCTCTCTCTCTCTCTCTCTCTCTGGTTAACAACTTTGGTCGAACTTGAGATCGGATCTAATTATCTCGGTCGAGGAATTTGTTCGATCGTGAGAAGTGGATAAATTTTTGGCCAAGTGTTCCCCAAAAGCGTTGGCGAACAGTCAGTTCAGGGAAAAGATTGTTCTCCTAGTTTCTTCGTAACGATGGATTTTTTCCCTAGGATTGGATCGTTCGAGAATTAATTAGAACTATTTCTGATCCGTGCAAAGCATCGTCCAGCAATTTGAACCCACAATTTTGAAAAAGTGTATCCGCGAAACTTTTGCAAACTTTCGATTCGAAAAGATTAGAAATTCTCGAGAAGATCGATCTGTGGAATCTTTGACGATCAATGTCCGCTTGTGCAATCTCGAACCATCTCAAACTATTCCTTACAACGTTAAAAAAAAAAAAAAAACGTAGAAAACTATTCGCTGCACAAATTCTTTAAATTTCATCTTTTTCAAAAAAAAATTCCAAAAATTCTCGAGCCCCGCGGCGTGGAAAATCCACGGAGAAAATTCGATCGAAATACCGATACTCGCCGTTGGAAAAATCGGGCGGCATTTAATTACCGTGGATCCAGTTTGTTTTACGATCGACTTGTTGCGCGCGGTTTGCGCAAACCGCCGCGATTTCCGGCGCGGAATCCGCTTTTCATCCCACTTTTCGCCTCTGATCGCTGAACCCACGGTTCGTCCATCCTCGATAAACCTCGATTCCTCGGCGACGAGACGAGGGATCTCGAGATGGACGCTTGCCACGCGAGCGATGGCAACCGTTCCATTCGCGGATATATTTACGTTCGATCCCGTTTCTTGAGATTCTCGCTTGTCACTCGGACGAAACTTGGACGGTTGTTGGCGGATTCGAGTTTGCGGTTTTAGGGGATCCTCCCCCCTCTTCCTCGGCAAGGAAGGTGATTTGTTTGGAAATTGGTGTAAGTGGTTTGCTCGAATCGATGGATTAAAATAAGCGAGAGAAGCGATGGGATTCAAGCGATGGGAAAAGGTGTATAAACGGTTGAGTTATGTTTGTGGCGGTGAAACGAAATTGGAATAATTTATGGATAGAGCGGTGAAGATAGAGAAATATACGCGAGTTATTCTTACCGTTGCAAATAGGAATAATTTATTGAGGTGTGCAGCGATGAAGGTGTAGCAGAGATATCGTAACTTTTTATTTCGTGGGTTAAATTTTGATTCGATCAATCTTTACAATCTTCGCGATTCGCGTTGAGAAGGAGCAGCTTCTTCCGTTTTTTTATTTTTGTAATTTTGTAATATCGATTAGAGAAATTTGGAAGAATTGCGAGAAGAATCGTCGATCCGAGAATTTTCGTTCGCCGACAGTATCGATTCACGGAAACGAAATCGAGGAAATTGAGATTGAGATTAAAGCGGAAACTCGGCGAAGCGTGTTAAAATTACAAAAATTTCCCCAAATTTTCGATCAGAATCGTTTGAAATAACATCGTTAAATAAAAATTAACCTTAACTCAATTTTTCCTTTTCTTTTTTTTCTTTTTTTTTTTTTTCTTCTTTTCGATCTTGAGGACGACCATTTGAAGTATCAGGTGTCAGCTGAATATAAAATGGAAGCTCAAGCTGCCCTGTATTCGATCACGAGTTTAAACGAGTTGTCAAAATTTACAATTTACGTGGTCTGTCTCATTTCTTAAAATTCAAAAAATTCCTGCACTCTTAGTTTATTATACACTCAAACCGCTTCGAATTTTCTTGCAAATAATTCGTTCTTGTTCGTTCGAGCAACCTATCATCGAGTAATCGGGAAAATGGAATTTTTCTATCTTGATCCGACAATCGTCCAAAAAAGAGAATCTAATTTAATACTGCGCAACGATCCGAGACAAAGATCTCGTGTCTGGCCGGTAGTGTCCTGGCGCGGTGCCATCCTTCCGAAACCGGAAGCGCGCGTCTTACGCAACGCGGCCGACGGGAAAAGTCTGGAAAAGTGGCGCTTTTGTTCGAAAATACCCGGCTGGACGTTGTCCGACGCGATAAAACGTGGCTAATTAACGCGGCGTAATTATTCCCTCGCATTCAAATCCTTTTGATTATCGTGAAAGACTGTAATAACGTTAAAAAAGAAAAAAAAAGAAAAGAAAAGAAAAGAAAAGGCTATTTAAAGTAACAAAAGTAGTAAGAAAAGTCGTTTTCAATAAAACTTTCGTTCTTTTCTTTCTGGACGCTTTTTAAAACCCCGTCCCTTCGATTCGATCGAAATATCCCCCGACGCGATAAATATCTTTTTCCCTGTACAATTCGATTTACAATACAATTGCTGGTGGATCGAAAAATTTCGAACGAGATCTCGTCGAAAGAGATAATCATTTCCTTCTTCCAATGGAAATTCCAAATTCTAACAAATTTTAACGGGACGATTTCTATGGGATTAATTTTCAGATTAATGTATTCGATGTAACCGAGTAAAAATCGAAACGAGAATTCATCGTAATTCGTTTCGTTTTGAAAGAATGTCGGCGATAGTTGGACGATAGTTGGTTTAAGATTGATTATAATTGTGATATCACGCGTGCGTTGTCACGGTTTAGAAAGCTACTCCTTGTCGTTCCGTGATTTTTTCCCTGTTCCTTCGTTGTCGAACGAGGCGGGGACAGAACGGGGCGAGGAGTGCAAAGAATTCTTGGCGCGTTTCTTTGCCGTAATGTCGGCCATGTTGTTAACCGGCGACTGGCGCATTGTACTGCCCTCCACCAAAGAAACACTCTACGCTCAATTTTTGTCAAACGGAGAAATCTCCTAATTTTCCCCTATTGAAATTAATTGAACAACGCATCGTGGGATATTCTTTTTTTTTTCTTTTTTTTTTCCGGTTAAAAATATCTAAGAAGAAAAGAACTCCTCCTTACTTCCTTCGTCGTAATGATCATTAAATTATTGGATGTAAAAGTTGAGGAGAAATTTTTTTCCAAAAAGAGAAGAAGAAAAATAGATGAAAATGACAAGGAGTGTCGAGTTTGTTCCAAGATGAAATCGATCGTCGGGGAGAGATCGAGGGGGAAAGGGAGGTTCTCGAGCGTTCAAGATCCATTAGCAGGAACAGGGCATAGATTAAAAAAGCTGTCAACGGAGCCGCGCCGCGAGGAATTAAGCATCGCCATCTCCATAAATCTCGGTTGGAGAAACTGTGAATTAATCCGGAGCTGATAGCCATCGCGGGTCACACGGCTGGTTATGGTTCTGGTTCAACAGGATGATTAACAGCTCAACCCCGTTCCGCAACTTGGAAACCGTTCCAACAATAATACGAGGAACGTGAATTGGAAATTGTGGTGGAAAAACGCGATCCAAAGGCGATCGTTCGTCGAGGAGGACACAGTGTGGTTTTTTTCTCAGTGTGGATTACATCGGTGGAAGAGGAAGAATTATGATTTTCTTTTCGAAAAAAGGATTGAGGAAAGGGAATCGTTATTATTCGTGCTTTTGTGCCCTTCGTCGTGACTTTGTTGATTCATAGAAAGCAAAACGTGAAAGAAATTTAAAATTGTTGGATTTAAAATAAAGTAAACCGTGAATCGATTTTATTGAAGGATTGTTGAAGGGAAAAAGGAGAAAGAAGAAGTTTGAGAAATCTGGAAAAGTGTGGCCAAGGTCTGATTGCCAACACGTGCCAATTTTTGAAATTCTTCAAGTACTATGGTAATCGTAATTTTTAATTAAGTGATTTGCAAATGGCGGCAATTAGGCGATAAATGTATTTCGAGTGCGACGCAATTATTATTATCAATACTTCATTACGAAGTCATTTCCACTCGTTATCCGTAATAATTCTAAAAATAATTCTAAAAAAAAAAGCGTGATAAACCGCGATGACTAGACTAG